TGCATTGAAGGTCATCATCTGATTACTCTGATGGAGGATAGCCATTGTGTTTGCAGTAATATTTGTCTTTGGACTGGCAGTAAATGATGCATTTGGGATGCCAGTGTTATTTGTCATTTGGAAGTCTGTTAGTTTTATCTGATCAGAGGAGGTCAGCATGGGGAAAGTTTCCTTTAGATCTTCGAAGGCTTGAATAGAGTCTCCTGTGGAGTTCTGGGTGAGGATTGTCCCAGGGTTGTTAGAATTGGCAGAAGTTAACACTGGAACTTGAAGAGAACAAAACCTGCTTCTGGTTTGACTCATGTGGGTGACATTGATCAGACTGGAGCATATAAGCCTGTTGTTCTGGTGCTTCTAAGGTTTTTGCCTGTTCTATACATGACTCAGAAAAACCTTGGAGAAACTTAATATCTTCAAGAATACGGAGGAAAGATGGCATGATTATCTCTTTGTTGTTGCCTAGTGTGTAGACTAATCTTTAGCTGAGGGTTCCTCTGTTTGTGCTTTTGGAGATGCAAAATCCAGAGTATTTGCTCCTTGCAGGGTTGAACTGGAAACAGCCCCAGAAGGCAGGACCAGCGATTGTTGTTTTAATTTTTTGCCAATGCCTTTAGTGCAGTTCCTGCTGCCTCTTTCATTACCATTGGCTTCTGTTCATATAGTATTTCCTAAAATTTTTCAGTGTCAATCAGGTCTTTTTGGTATAGTGGTTCTGTGGATTCCTTCCATCTTCTTTTGGTAGAAACAACTTTCCATCTACCTTCTGGAAGATAGTTGTTTTGATTTGACAGTCAGGTGTAAGCTTATTGGATGCTGTTAATTTAGTTAACAATTAGGTATAAGTCGATTGGTCATTGTTGATTTAGTTAACAATCAGATGTGGGCTGAAAACCTCTTGTTTAACCAATCAGGACCTGGTATGCGGACCTTTGTATTTAAAAGCCAGTTGTGTTCAAGGGTTTCATGAAGAGTAATTTACTATTAGGGTTACAAACAAAATTGATAATTTGTTGCATTTGGGGAGAACATTATTCTAAGTGGTATAGCACTTATGTGTCAGTTTTCTGTATTGAGATAACTTGTGAAAGTTGCTGTGATACTGAAAGCTATGCCACTGGTGTGTCAAATGCCATAAAGGTTACTCATGGTGGACAGGTTTTAGAGTTTCCAGACTCAGACAGATTAGGAAGCAAGATTGGCCATCCACTTCTTAAATTACAGGCTTTTGAAAAATCCTATGAACACTAGAAAAACACAGATAGTTATTAGTGTAGTGGTAGAGCCCAGATTGGAAGTCAGTGAAATGTGAAAAAATAATGACAAATATAATTTAATAATTGGAACATGGAATGTATGTAGCTTGAATACAGTTAACCATTAAAAAAAAGATAATTTAAAACTTAAGTGAGATATATAACTATGCATCTATTAGAAAGGCAAAATGGAAAATGGAAACAATATCAAATCCTGGCAAGGACCTGCAGAAGCTACATTATTCATATATTGTTAGTTCATAGTCCATATAGCTTTATTTGAAATAGTTAAAAACTAGAATCAGCCTGAATATCTCTCACTTGGAAAGGTGTATAGGTGTATACTTAGCAATAACTAGGAACAAACTACTGATACATACAGCAGCTTGGATAAACCTCTAGGAAATTATACCAACAGACAAAAGCAAATGCAAAAAGAATACATGCTATGTAGAGTACCATTTATACATTTCTCCCCCTTGTTTTTTCTTGCTGTGTACTGTTGAATCGGATCTGCCTGGCACAGGAGGAGATTGCCCCTCCTTCTCCAGTGGAGCATCTGGTGGATTCAAACTATGTGCCTTCAGGATTGCAGTGCAACTTCTTGCCACTAGGCTGCCAGAGCTCCCTCCATTTATACATTTTTGAAATGACAAAATTTTAGAAGTGGAGATTACTAAGTGATTGTCAGAGGTTGTAGGTGTGGGTAAGAAGGAGATGGGTTATAAAAGAAACACAAGGAATCTTTGTTGCGTGATGGAATTATGCATAGATGAATAGATAATACATTCAAGGAATCTCAACCTAAATATCCATCAACAGCAATAATCATTAAATAAATTAGGGCATTAAGTATTGAAAACCTTCTGGAGGTTCAGCGATGGGTAATTTCCAACTCTGTGGTAAATAACAATAACTATATAATGATAGAGCTCCGGTGTTGGAGTGTGTAGCATGTTGTACTGCTAATTTAAGGTTGGGGGTTTGAATCCACCATCCAGTCTGTGGGAGAAAGATGGGCAGTCTCCCTCCTGTAAAGATTTACAACTTTGAACACCTAACAGAGAGTCACTATGAGTTGAAATGGAGTCTAAGACAATGGGTTAACCTATCTAATAAAATTCACTAAAAAAGAAACTTTTGAAAACATTTTGATAAAGTAAATGAAAACACATCCTCATTGCCATCAAGTTGGAGCCAACTCAACTTACCTTCCAATTGGAATCTCCTGGGAAGATACTGCTCATCTTTCTGCTGGTGAATTGGAACTGCCAGAGAGGTTCAGCCTATGGTTTAGTAGCACACTTATCAACAGACTATGCCACCAGAACTCCCTAATAATAAGATGTGAAATGGACTTACTGGAATGCTCCTTGTAGACAAGGATGGCATAGCATCATCACACATACTTTGGGGATATTGCTAGGAGAGGTTATTCTTTGGAAAGGGACATCATACTTGGAAAGGTTTAGGATCAGTGAAAGAGGGAAGATGCTCAACAAGACAGATTGACACAGCGATTGCAGCAATGGGCTCAAGTGTGTCGGATGATGAGGATGGCACAGAATAGGTTCAGTTTGGTTGTTCTTAGGTTCAGTATGAGTTAAACTTGATTCAGCTAAACCTACCAACAACATAGGGCATTACTTGCAGAAAGTGAAGAAACCTTAAAGTACTTACTGAAGAAGATCTTTAATATGGATTATACTTCAACATCAAGAAAACAAAAATCCTCACAACTAAACCAATTTGCAACATCAAACTACATGGAAAAATGGTTGAAGTTGTCAATCATTTAATTTTACTTGGATCTACAATCAACATCGATGGTAGCAGCAGTCAGGAAATCAAAAGATGCATTGCATTGGGAAAATAGGCTGTCAAGGAACTCTTCCAAATGCTAAAGCGCAAGATGTCAATTTAAAGACTAAGGTGCACCTGATCCAGGCCATTTTCAGTTGTTTCTAATGTATGTAAACGTTGGACTATGAATAAGGATGACTAGAGAAGAATTAATGTCTGTAAATTGTGGAGTTGGTGAAGAGTATTGAATGGATTGCCAAGGAAACAAACAAAAATCTTAGTTTGGGGAAAGTGCAACCAGAGTGCTTCTTAGAGGCAAAGATGGTGAAACTTTGTCTTATATACTATGGGCATGTTGTCATGAGGTACCAGACCTTAAAGAAAGACATTATGCTTGGAAAACTAGAAGGTCAGCTAAAGAGAGAAAGACCTTCAAGGAGTTGGATTTACACAGTAATTGCAGTGATGGACTTGAACATGACAGAGATTGTGAGAATGACACAGGACAGATAGGGCAATGTTGCAGTCTCTTGTTCAGAAGGTTGTTATGTGTTATTATCATCAATATGATGACACCTGACAACAACAACAATAATAAAAGACTCAAGGTATGAATAATAAATATGAATAAAACACTAATGAAGTACTCATATGGGAAAGTAGTCTATATGCACTACAAAGATTATTAACTAATTGTGTTTATAGAAGAGATGGAAATTATTTTCTTGGCACTGACCTGGGACAGGATCTGATTCTCTGCATTTTATTTGCCAGGCTCCTGATTTGTGAGAATGTGCCAAGCCATGCATCTGCAATGATTCTGTAGCAAGGGTGGTTCTTGATGCCAGTTGTTCATTTACAGGTAGCTTTTGAAAATGGCTGCCTCTCATTTCTCTGGACTTACAGCTGTTGCTGATGTAATTAAAGATCTAGACACTCAGATAGCTGTAAGTAAGCACCTTGAGGCTCTATGGGCAGAACTTGGTGAGTGTGCTTCTGAGCCTGGTGACACCAAAACAACAAGAACCTTGTATTCTAAGATTTATGAGTCCCAGTCCCTCCAGCCTGGGAATTCTGCATGTACTTAACGATTGTTAACACACAGAATAAAATGGCTTTTTGGTGGTAAAGAAGAATTTACTTTTTTTTTTTTAAGAATTTACTTTTAACAGTTAGTGAAAGTGTGGGGAGTTTTGAGCATTGCCTGACATAAACTTAAGCATGTTTGGAAATGCCAAAATAAACTAACCTGTTTTCCAAAACTTATTTTTTTCTTTCTGTTTTCTAAAACTTTATGACTGAATTTAAGTATCTAATTGTGCAGTGATTTATTTGGATTAAACTTTTGATACTCAAAAATTATGCCTGTAATACTTAACACTAAGTGTTCTGTCTTGATAAGCTGTTAAAAAATGTTTGGCTCAGTTTTATTTACTTTTTATACTTTTTTTTTTTACTTTCTTCCTTATTTTAATTTGTGGATTTAAGTTTTTGAGAAGAGATGATTTCTGGGTATCAGGTGAGAGCAATGCACATTCTTGATTTCCAGTGTTTTGTTTTGTTTTGTTTTTATTTCCAGTGTTTTTAATGTGTAGTTCTTACCATCCCAGATATACCAAAAGTCTTGATATCTGCGTGTAATTTTACTTTTCAGAACTCATCCTTTATTACAGGTGTTTCTGGATCTAAATCTTGTCTTTTCCATCTGCAGTTGATTGGCCTTGGCCCTCACAACTCTAAAAAGAAACAGGATCTTGATAAACTCTATGAGCTGAAGTCCAAAGCACGGCAGATTATGAACCAGTTTGGCCCCTCAGCCCTAATCAACCTCTCCAATTTCTCATCTATAAAACCGGAACCAGCCAGCACCCCTCCACAAGGCTCCATGGCCAATAGCACTACTGTGGTAAAGATACCAAGCACTCCTGGCACAGGAGGTCGACTCAGTCCTGAAAACAACCAGGTATCATCTTCTTACTCTTTGCTCTCTGTAATCACCTCTTATTTGAGCCAGTAAAGCTTCAAGAGCTGTCCATCCCTGAGCCTATCTCTTTATCTCAGCTGAAAAAAAAGATCTTTTCTCTCCTTGGACTTCCAAAGATCTTTATCAAATTCTCATTCATGTTCATCCATGATGAAGTTCATCCATGTTACTAAAAATTAACAGTTTTACTACTATATATGTATATGTGTGTATACATAAAGACACATACCACACCTTGCATGTGATTAGCTATGTAACTGTTAAATAAAATAAGTGGTTTTATTATCTTATAATAAAAATACTCCTAATTTATGCAACTGCTGCCATTAGTAAAAGTATTTCTTCTAATTCATACAGCTGCTCCCACTATTAATTTTTTTGCAGTAATTCTAAACTCTGATCTCTGACCCTGGTTTTGATCTTCAGAGACACAGAAAGAAGTGCAATCCCATCACTTGGATGTGAAACTAACATTCCAGTGCAATTTAGAGAGGGACTAGCAAAAGTGAATGGGGGATAGTTGAGCAGATAGTCTGGAGATATGCTTTGTTGAATATAGAGTGTATTGGAGAAGCACGGATTGTAAAGATTTTATGTTGTCATGTGCCATTGAGTTGGAACTGACTCATAGCTGACCTTTCAGCAGGTTTTCAGAAACTTTAAATCACACGGGAGGAGATTTCCCCTCTTTCTTCACAGAGCATCTGGTAGATTTGAACCACCTTTTGGATTGGCAGCACAGCTCTACTGAGTAGGCCACAAGAGCTCCCTTATATAATAGTAGGGTTAGTAGACCTATAATAGTAAGTTTACATTGGAACTTTTAGTCTTTGCAGATACCTCTGAAAAATCTTTTCTGGGTTAACTTCAGGTATTAACGAAGAAGAAATTGCAAGACTTGGTAAGAGAAGTGGATCCCAATGAACAGTTGGATGAAGATGTAGAGGAGGTAAGGCAAAGTTAAATACCCTAGACACTCACTATATAACTGAGAACTTATACAATACTTTAAAGCTCAGACATTGCTAGACATGTCTAAATTTTAATTAGCTCTGCCATTTTCCAGCTTTGTCACCATGGATAGCTCACTTAAGCTTTCTGAAAACCAGCTGGCTTCTTGGTTGGTAGAGTATGACATTTACTATAACAGTATTGTGAGGATACTATGAGATAATTGACGCAAATGATCTAGCACTTGATATCTAGAAATTGCTGATGCTCATGTCTGTCAAAAAGGATACAATGGCTACTCATGGGAAAATAACCACTTTCAAAGTTTTAGCTGTATCTACAATGTAATTTAGCATAATGTGGATTTTTGGGGGTGTTTTTTGTATAATGTTTTAAAAATTAATTCATAAAAAAATTAATTCATGTTGTAACATATATCAATATATCATTCCTTTTATGAATATAGAAAGCATTATTATGGGACTATATCACATTTTCTTGTTCATTTAGCCATTGATAAACATTTAAGCTATTTCTATTTATTGGATATGGAGAATAATGTCACTATAAACATTTGCATTCCAGTGTTTTTGGGGTTTTTTTTCTTTTTAGTTTTTGGGGTTTTTTAATTGCTTTGCTTACAAAGCTTGTATAAATTGTGTTTCACACTATTCCTCATTCATATAATATTATACAGTCAATCTCGTGTATTACGGGGTTTTTTAATTATTAATTTAATGAAAATTTACAGACTTTGGATTTCCATTCTTCATTCATTACTGCACTTTTCTCTCTGCCCTCCCTCGCCCCCCCAGTTTGCTCTTCTCTTTGAAAAGTAAAAGAAAAATTCTTTGTTATACAATCCCTCCCCCCAAGTCCACTCCACTATGCAGCCTTTGTTCTGAACTCCTGTCATGACAATAATATCTAATCATATATTCCTTTTAAACAGTTCTATCCCTCATCTGTTTCAATGCAGTATACGTAATTTATCCCATCTTTCTCAGTTTTCCCCAACCCTGATGTCAGTCCTGTTTTACAATAGTAGCACTATGCAGTATTTAGTATTTGTCCTTTTGTAACTGAGATATTTCACTCAACATAATGTCCTCCAGAGTCACCCATTTTGAATAATATATCATAAATTCCTTATTTTTCAATGCAATGTTATATTTCATTATGTGACTATACCAGAGCTTCTCTATCCATTCGTTTGTTGATGGACTTCATTCCAGTTTTTATGTGAACATTTGTTTCATTTCACTTGGGACTATATCAGGAGTGGAATTTCTGAGTCATATAGTAACCATGTTTAACCTTTTAAGGAGGTAAAAGACTATTTTCCAATACATACCATCACTTTACATTCTTACCAGTTGTGTATAATGTTCCTATTTCTCGCATTTTTTTATCATTTCTTTTCTGGTTTGCCGCCTTTGTGGAATGATGGGTGAATCCTCAGGATTGATCTTAAAGTTTTTTGGGTTTTGTTTCCTCAACCCATTCTGTTCTTCTTTTAGGGATCTAATATCTCTTCTTTTCCATGGATTCCTTTTTTCTTTTTTTTACATCTTTGTCCTACATTGACTTTCTTTCCTTTTGTCTTGTTTTATTTTTAGTGTTGTTAGAGCCTTTCTTCAAATGTCTAGTGATCTTGACTATCTGCTTTTAATAATTATTCATTCACCATTAATAATAGCTGATTAGAAATGGGATGTGCTGACTTATGAGCTTTGCCCAGTTACAGACAGTTGTTTTTGTTAGGACATTGTGTTGGTGCCAACTCATAATGATTCCAGGCCAGCAAAGTGACACACTGCTTAGTCCTGCGCCATCTTCACAATCTTTGTTATGTTTGATTGTTGCTCTCACTGGGTCAGTCCATCTCTTTGAGGATCTTCTTTTTGTCTCTGACCCTCTAGTTTAACAAGCATGATGCTTTTTTCCAAGTTATGGTTCCTTCTACTGACATGTCCAAAGTAAATAAAATGAAGTCTCACTGTCCTCACTTCTGAGGAGCATTCTGGCTCTAATTTTTCCAAGACAAATTTTTTCTTTTGGAATTTAATTGTATGTTCAGTTTTCTTTGTTTATATCATTAACTTAAATGCACAGATTCTTCTTCAGTATTTCTTTGTCATTGTCCAGGTTTCACATGTATATGAGGGGATTGAAATGACCTTGGTTTAGGGTCTGTACATCTTGGTCCTCTCAAGGTGAAATCATTGCTTTTTAACACTTTGAAGAGATCTTTTGCAGCAGAATTGCCCAATGCAAGAACATCATTTGATTTTTTTTCCTTCTTTTTTTAAAAAATTTTTCCTTTTCAATTTATTTTGTAAAATTTCACCCAAATAAATAACAAAATGACATCTTTACTTTTGAACACTTCAGAGTTCTTTTGTAACTGATTTGTATAATATTAAATAACTTTATTTTTTTTCTTTTTATTCCTTCATCATTGCATATTTTCTTGCCTCCCCCAGACCACTTTGCAAGACACCTCTTGCTCCAGATTGTTGTCATATATATATACATCCATATAGTAATACCTAATCATATATTCCTTTTGGGGCAGTTCTGGTGGCCTAGTGACAAGAAGCTGTGCTGCAATCCTGAAAGGCACACAGTTTGAGGCCACCATCTGCTCCATGGGAGAAGGATGGGCAGTCTCCTCCCATGTAATTAACTGCCTCTGAACACCTGCTGGAAGGTCAGCTATGGGTCTGTCTGACTCTATGGTACACAACAACAACATTGTCTTTTCAGGTCATCCTTGCCCTCATCTGTTCCAATGCAGTGTTCATTATCTATACACTTTTTTCCTATTCTCCTCCCCCCCACCCCTCCATGTCAGTCCTAGTTTATAACAGCGGTGTTACACAGTTTTGTCTTTCTGTGACTTACATATTTCATTCAGCATAATGTCTTCAAGGTTCATCTATATTGTGTAGTGTTTTATGAGTTCATTGTTTTTCATTGCTACATAATATTCCATTGTGTGACTGTGCCACGGTTTTCCCACTCATTAATTTGTTGATGGGTGCTTGGGTTTCTTCTATCTCTTTGCTATTGTGAATAACACAGTAATAAAAATGGGTGTGCATAAATCTGGGTTGTGGCTCTAGTCTTTAGGGTATATTTGCAGTAGTGGAATTGCTGGATCAAATGATATTTCTAACTTTTTGAGAAAACACCAGACTGCCTTCAGTAGTGGCTGTACCATTTTACACTCCCACAAGCTATGAATAAGAGTTCCAATCTATACACAACCTTGCCAGCATTTGCTGTTGCTGCCTTGTTGAACTTTGCCGTCATTGCTGGTATGAGATGATATCTTATAGTTGTTTTGATTTACATAGCCAGGGATTTTGAACATTTTTTTTTCATGTGTTTGCTCTCTGAATGTAGTCTTTGGTGAAGTATCCATTCATACCTTGTGCTCATTTTTGTGATTGGGACGTTTACCTTTTTCTTGTTGAGATGTTGGAGCACTATATGAATTTTAGATATGAGTCCCTTATCAGATATGTAATTGCCAAGTATTTTTCCCAGTCTTTGGGTTTCTTTTTTCCCTGTTGGAGACGTTTTTTTAATATACATAAGGATTTGATTCTTAGAAAGCCCCGTTCATCTATTTTATTTTCTCCTAGTTTTAAATCTCTTTTTTTTTCAAAGCAGACAAAATATAAACTTTATTTTCACTGTCTTTATATGACAGGTCTGTCTGTAAACTTGTTCCAACAAGAAAGACAGCCCTACTTTCACATTTGAATGAAATATAAATTTATAAACCAACTTGCAAACTGTTTACTGACTAACCTTTCTTCTTAATCTTATTTTAGCAGTTGTGATGTCCAGGGGAGAAAAATATTTCCTAAACCACATGGTGATGAGAGGGTCACTGGAAGGAGGGCCGTTAGTGGTGGCTTACCATAGGAGAACATGCCTTCTGACTCCTCCTTGTCTCTCCAGACAGCAGCAAATCCTTTCTCTTGTTTCTTTAAGGGAGCTTTGATGGCCTAGTGGGAAGGAGGTTGAGCTGCCAATCCAAAGGCAAGCAATTCAATTCTACCAGCTATTTTATGGTAGAAAGTTGGGCAGTCTCCTCCTATGCCGTTTACAGCCTCTGAAAACCAACTGGAGGGCCAGCTATGAATCAGTTCCTACTCAACAGCACCTAACAACAACACTTCCTTTTGGCCAGAGATTTAAAAATCTTTTACTTCTTTTTTTTTTAAGTCTTTTACTTCTTGATGGCCACATCCACAAGGACTTTCCTTTTGATCTCTACCATTTACTTAATTAAACTGCCAAAAGGGCTTAGTGCTTCAAGTTATGCTCCTCAGAAGCACCTGTGATTCACTTGATCTGTTGTCCTCAGGTTCTCTTCTTCAGTTTTTATGCCTGTGTGCATTTCACAAAGATTGTAATCACAGCCTCACTTTAACACCAATTCTTCCTTCCCGGGAAGTGCCAGACATGTTTGAGCACCTTCCAGACCTGTGGTTTCACAGCTACAGCTGCATTGTGAAGCGGGCTGCTCAGCAAGGCACACATATGTGGTGGCGATCATTTGATTTCTTGATTGTTGTTTGCAAGGACGTTGATTGTTAATCCAGGGAAATCCTTGACAACTTCAGTGTTTTCTCCACTTACGTGATTGTGCTTATTGATTCAGGTGTGAGAATTTTTATTTTCTTTGTTTTATATAATCTATACTGAAGACTAAAGACATGCAGTTTGAGTCAACTAGCTGCTTGACCAGAAGAAGATGGACAGTTTCCTCCCATGCGATTTACTGCCTCTGAAAACCAGCTGGAGGGTCTCTTCCAATTCAGCCATACACACCAACAACAGCAGTATAGGGAATTATAATGATTTTTGGTTTTCCACCAGATTCAGAAGAAATGTGGGGCCAGAGATTGGGCTAGTTAATCACTGGAGAGTAGGAAGAACAGAAAGTATGTCTCGTGTCACTTGCATTAGATCTGGTTAGTTGATGCATCTCTGACATCTTTCTCATGCTTCTTTATTCTTCCCACCTTAATCCAGATGTTGATTCCTGCTACCTAATAGATTCTAAGCCTGGCTAAATATATGATTCAGGCATTAACCATTAACTGCTAATTCATGGGTTACTCCTCCCACTTTTGCCTTCTCCAGATGCTGCTACAGATTGCCGACGATTTCATTGAGAATGTAGTGACAGCAGCCTGCCAGCTTGCCAGGCATCGCAAGTCCAGCACCCTAGAGGTGAAAGATGTCCAGTTGCACCTAGGTATGTTTAACAGACCTCCACAACAGTGACTTAATAATGGTAGTAATAATAATTTCTTTTGCTCATAATTCTGGAGATTACCTGGTTTTAGCAAGGCAGATCCTGTTAGGCATCTCTCAGTTCAGGTGGTGGCTAGAGCTGAGGTCATCTTAAAGGAAGCCTTTATTATTTTCATGCCTAATGACTGTACCAGGTGCTCTTAGAACATCTGGGGACTGCCAGCACATCTTTCTCTCTGGTCTTACTGAATGGCAGCTTCAAGGTAACTGGATTTTCTACTTGAAAAAGCTGACAGCTCCCAGAATGAGAGCTCCTCAGCAGTTGACAGAAGCTGTGTGGCTTTTTCTAACTCCACTTCTCAAGTGACACAGTGTCACTTCTGCTGAGTTCTGTTCTTGAAGGTAGTTATAAAGACCTGTCTTGTTTCAAAGAGGAAAACATAGACAAGACACCCTGTCAGTGAGAAGTGTTTTAAGAATCTGCAGACATGTTTTAAAGCCAGCAGAGCAGATGATATTACTTTGAGAGTTTAACTTTCCTATTTTATACTTTAATTATTATATAATCAGAATGCCAATGTATTTAAAGGGTGAGAAATTATTATCATAGAGATTAAAATACTTGAGTCTAAAATACTTGAAAGTCTACCTGGTCAGAAGTTTCTGTACAGGCCTACTGGAAGTTTAATCATGATCAGAAGATTGCTTGGAGAGCATGGTGTCAGAACACAGGGAATTAGGGAACCTGGTGTGAGTGAAGAAGGTATTGAAGGAGACCCTGTGCATCCCACTCGGTTAATGGCAGGTTGACAGTTTGAACTCATCCAGTGGCACCTTGGGGAAAAAAGGCTGAGTGATGTGCTTTTGAAGGGCCACAGGCTTGAAAACCCTATGGAGTGCATATGAGATCACCATGAGTCAGAATTGGCACAGACCATACCTCTGAGTAGAGAGGACTTGCCAGTGACCTGTAAACTCTTGATGTCTGTCCCCTAGATAGGACTGGGATGGGTACTGTACTGTTCCTTCTGGCCCATTTACTCTATTTATATGACTGAATAATGTCCCCTTCTGATTAACAATCTTTCTTTAAGAATTTCAGAATTAAATGAAGTAATGTATATAGAAGGCTTTGCACAGTGCTCTTTGTACCAGTTATTTTATAAAATATTTTAATCCTGAAATGATTATGGTTATTTTCTTAATCCAAATATATCAAATATATGGGTAACTGATGTGTGTATACACATATGTATACATGCATGTATGTAGTCATTCCTGGTAGCCTTCTGTCTTTGAAATGACCTTGTATATCAATACCTGATTCACTCTGTGATTATTGCATAGCTTAATTCCCAGAGAATAATCATAGTGTCATTTTCAAGTACTAACACATAAGTATTACAGCAGAAGGTTTCAGACATTTTTCTTTCAAAAGCACATTGTGAGCCAGTTCCAACTAAAATCTTTTCATTTTCAAAGAACTATTGGAGGAGATCTGAGTATCAAATTATTTTAGAATTAAACATGAATCATTCATTCACATATTTACTCTACATTAGATACAAAAATATTACCATGAAATCACTAATACTCAGTTTGATTAAAGTGCCTACTTGTGATAAAACAAGTTTTGCAAGCCATCCTATTTTCATTTCTCTATAGAGTGTGATAATTCTAAGTCATGGAAATCTTTTTGAATAGATGCAGCACTCTTTTTTGTGGATTTAGGGAGGCATGTAATTATGCTAATTATTAACAAAGTGAAATAAAGTCCCTGCCCTCTGGGAATTTCTAGTGAATCTTAAAGGAATAATACTGTTCAGTGACACATGGCATAGAGATGTGGTGTGGACTGCCTATGCTTATTTATGCATATCCCAGGCTGTGAATTAAACACTTTGTATGCTCTATGTGACTGAGTTCTTTCAGCCACTCAAAAGGTAAGTACTATTGCTACTATCAGGTGAAAGCTTAAGAAACTGAGACCCAAGTTCACGCAGTTATACAGTGAAACTGCATTTCTTAGCTCCAGAATGCTAGAAGTGCCTTTCTGTTCCTCATCTTCCTTTAGTTTTAGAACAAGAGTAGAACAACTAAAGGAACAGTAACTTTTATTATCTGTGGAAAACATAAACCATTGAAACCCTCAGGGTGCAGGACTCACAGATTTGGTGGATTTACAACTTTTTCTTTGCAAGAAGCTCCAACTAGTTGTATCTTTTAAAACCTAGGAAGAACTATGTATAATTTCCCCACAGTATCCTTCTGTAGGGTTAGTATTAGAACAGTTGATTGTCTAGACTCGCCCTCTTTGCCCTTGCCTGATGTCACATTGTCCTGATGCTCCCTGCTAGTCTCTCTTCTCTATGTTGGCTGCTTTTTTGCAGAGCGCCAGTGGAACATGTGGATCCCAGGTTTTGGCTCAGAAGAAATTCGACCCTACAAAAAAGCTTGCACCACAGAAGCTCACAAACAGGTGAGGATCCACCAGAGCCCCAGGGAGCAGCCCAGACCGATCCCTTGAGAAGTATTTTAGAAGAGGGTATGCCCAGCTACCTTCTAAGGACACTTACCCACTGCAGTATAATATTTTCCACTTAAAGCAAGTTTAAATATATAATTGAGTGTACTACTGAGTATACCAGAGGTCAGTACTTCTAATACCATTTCTGCTGTGGAACAAGTCCTCGGCATCATTAGTCAGCCCAACAGGTGTATGGCTTCCCACTGACAGATTATCTTGTATCTTAGCTGGTGATTCTGATTTGGAAAGTAAGCTTTTCCAGAACTAGTATCTCTGGAAGAACCCAAGTGACATAATGGTGAAGCATTTGACTACTAATTAAACGATCAGGGTTCACACAAGCCAAACATTCCATGGGATAAAAATGTGTCTGCTTCTGTAAGCTTCTGTTGCTTTCTTCTGTCAGGTCTTTAGGAATTGGAATCAACATGATGACAATAGGTTTTGGTTTTTGTATTCCTCACAGAAGAAGCCCTAACAGGAACCGTTTGCCAGTAGATGTGATATTCTTCAGGACACAGTCCCACTAGATAATGCTCCAGCACTAGCATTTTGACTCTTCTCCCAAATTATCTATTTTTTAGGTTTATGTATTTATTGAATAAAAAAGAATATCATAATGTGGAAACAAGTGTCTTGATTAAAAAGAGTGAGCAAACACATGTTAGTCATTTGGCTGGGAACTGGTAACAGTAAACTTGAAAACCCGCAATCTGAATGTTTCCTTCATGAGTTGTGATGAAGGGTGTTAATCTTCAGTTTCCCTTCTTATGCGTCAGGCATAAAACAGTTCCCTTTGTGTATGGCAACAGTTTTCAAGAAGAGTCCCCCTCCCTCTCCCTTTCCTCATCATCATAAAAGGTGGAGACAGGATGTGGAGTATCTAGAAATTCCTTTATCCTGTTTAATTGGCTTATTTCTCTCTTTTCAGAGAATGGCATTGATCCGGAAAACAACCAAGAAATAACATACGGAGAGGTCGGGAAATGGACAACAGTGCATTTGGAATTTGGAGATACTTGAGCTGAGGCCTCAGCCATCTCATCCGTGGAGTGTTTTTTTAAATGCTTTACAGAGAAGCATATATTTTTTATTAACAGTGCAGCAATATCTATAATGACTGAGAGGATCTGCCAAAAGAATAAAGCCTCCTACCCCAACTTCCAGTCCCTCTTGCCTGCCGTCTCAAAGAGGTGGAATATATCTTCCAGAGAAGATTTTTCTTTGTGATTTATTATATAAGTGATTGAATATGGAACAAAGCATTATGGTCTTTTTGGTGAGACAGTATTAGCAGGACATACAGAGGTTTTTGTTTCCTCCTTTCCTCGCCCTTCCTTGTACTTTGTAATGTCAGTGTTTATATGACTATGACTTTCATTTGCTTTTACAGAATAAAGAAGTTATTAATCAAAAGACACAGGATCAATGGCTTATGTAGCCTTTGGAATGTCAGAGGAGGAAGGCAAACATGGTTGGTTGTAGCTCTTCAGTCAGCAGATGGCAGCACCATTATTAATTTCATTTCTGTACTTGAGAAAATGCATGTGTTTTCCTTTATTTTACTCCATAGGAAGCTATATACCATTAATAGAAGCTTGAGTGCTGTTTTTCTAACATTAGCACTGGGCAGTAGTGAACTGTTCTCATGAACCTTGACTAAAGAGGCATATACCCTCTAGCAGTGTTATATGCCTAAGAGCCTTTCTGGCATACTCTTCTTGAAACTTCTCAAGAAAGTTGTATTACTTCTTAGACCATAGTAGTAACCTCAGGGCAAGGCCTGTCTTTTCTAAATTGTTGTTAATCCCTAATCCCTGTGTTTCACCATCCAAAGAAACTAAGCTCCTTGACCTCAAACCAAGACCTCAAGACCATGTCCTTCTTGACCAGTTTAGCCCTTGTACATTGTATGGGTTCTGTGAACCTTAGAGAGTATAGCTTTTTCTCCCTAGGAATCACATTCACATTGTCCTGCCTTGGACCTCTACCTCATACGGTTTGGTCTAAATTAGGACCCTTTCACTTCGTCTCACTCTTAAGTTTGTTTCCAGGATCCCTTTCTTCACAATCCCTTATCTCTTGGGAGAACAGCTCAAAGACTATACCAGTGTTAGGATGCTAAGGCTAATGCCTCCCCGTTGTGAGCCCTGAGATGACAGCCAACATCTTTCTCTCCGTCGCATCACCTGTTGCTCAGCTGCCAGGTCCACCTTGTTGACTACCATGAAGAAGAGGATGTCAGAGGGTTTCACTTTTCCAGAAGTTCCTGATTGCTCTTAAAAGGTGCTTTGTTGCAGATATCAAACAGCAAGAGGGCTCTAGCAGAGTTCCAGTAGTAGGAGCAGGTCACTGATCTCAGGAGAAGGAATCCAGAATGATTTGAATCCCTCTATTGAGGACTTTTAGAAGTCCATGGGATATTCAGTACCCTTCTCCAGCACCACTACTGGCAAAAGAACAAGCCGGGTTTTGTTTTGGAGAAAATGTAACCAAAGTGCTCCTAGGAGACAAATATGGTGAAACTTCCTCCCTCATACTTTGTACATGAATCTAGATGAGGCTATTCCTCAGGGAAATCATGCTTGGAAAAATGGAGGGTCTGTGAAAGAGAGATAGACCCCCAATGAGATGGGTTGACACAGTGACTGAAGCAGTGGGTTCAAATGTGTCAGAGGTTGTGAATATGGGAATGGGATAGGACAGGGTTCAAGTCTCTTGGTCATAATGTCATTGTGAGTCATACTCGATGGCACCTAACAACAACATTGAGGACAGAGATGCCTCACATACTTTGGGCATGTTGTTAGGAGAGGCCATTCCTTGGAGAAGGGATATCATGCTTAGAAAGATGGAGGGTTGGAAAAAGAGAGGAAGGATTGTCAACCACATATAAGAACTGACGTAGTGACTGCTACTGTGGCTCGAGTATGCAGGATAGGACAGGGTTCATATCTGTTATTCATAGGGTCATATGAATTAGACTTGACAACATCTAACAACAACATTGACAACAGTGAGTTTTAGGTGATGCAGTCCATAGGGAGTTGCTAAGGCAAAGGCCAAGCCTCTGATGGTTCAGATCCACCGGCTGCTCCATAGGAGAAAGATGGGCAGTCTCTTCCTGGTCATTTATAGCCTTGGAAACCTGCTGGGAGGGCAGTACCTAGGAGTCAGTTGACTCAGCAATGGGTAAGTGACTGAGGGCAGAAAGACTGAACAGCATTGGGATAGTTTAATGGAAAGAGCTAGGGTAGAGAGAGAAAGGACTTCAATTTGGGATCAACTGTATAACAGGTCAGGGAACCCTGGTGGCTTATTGGTTAAAATGTTTGGTTGCTGACCTCAAGGTCAGTGGTTCAAACCCACCAGCTGTCCTAAGGTAGAGAAAAGAGGCAGTTGGCTTCTGTAAAGAATATGCCTTAGAAACGCTGTAGTGCTTTTATGTCCATAACGTCACCATGAGCCAAAATCAGCTGAATAGTAGTGAGTTTGAGTTTGACTGGTAAGTACTTTTATTCTGAGTCTTGCTTCCTGTCTGTGTGTTCAGCAGCTTGTTCAGCAAGAGCTACTTGTGCTAGGCATTGGGTATAATGGAAAAACACTTGTGAGGCATGGTATTGTCATCAGTGTAACCCCTCAGTGTTGTCCTGATGACAAGGCCACAAAGAAGAGATTCATAGGCATGTTGAGACTGACCCGGGGTGGCAGGGGCAAGGAAGATGAGGTTTTGTTTAATCTGTGACTCAAGGGGTCCAGGTGAAGAGGAGTTGGGATCTCTTTTAATGAGAAGGAATTCTATGTGTATAAGCACTGAGACGATGTCATGTGCCATTGAGTTGCTTGTGACTCATAGCAACCCTATGTACAATAGCCCTGAACCCTGCTCTATCCTGTGCCAACCTTATTGTTTCTTACACACCTACCTTCTTTACCCTATCACTGAATCAGTCCTTCTCATTGAGAGTCTTCCTCTCTTATGCTGTCTCTCCACCCTCAAAACCTTGAAGTCCTTGCCTCCAAGGAGCACCCTGGTTTTACCCTCTCCAGGACAAACCTGTTTGTTCTCCTAGCAGTCCATGGTATATTCAATACTCTTCTCCAGCACCACAGCTCAAAGGCATCATTCTCTTTTTGTCATCCCTAGTCATTGTCCAGCTTTCTGAAGCATAACAAGTAATGCAAAGACTGTGGCCTGGATCAGATGCACCTTAGTCTCCAGACTGACATCATTGCTTCAGTACGATGAGCTGTGAGAGGATATCAAGAATATCATCCATGAAAAATGCAAAAGGTCATGACAAAGACAGAGGAGGAAGAAAAAACTAAGATGTCAGATGAGACTCTGAATATTGCACTGGAATGCTGAGAAGTCAAAGCAAAGAGAAGAAATCAAGAAACTGAGCTGAATAGAAGATTTCAAAGGGCAGTGTGGAAAGACAAAGTATTAAAATGGAATATACCAAGAGTTGGAGTCAGAAAATCAAAAGGGCCAAACTAGCTCAGCATTTCTTTCCTTTTTTTTAACAGTATTTTTAAATTTATTTTTATTAATATTTTTTATTAATTTCAATGAACATTTACAAAGATTTTGGATTTCCATTCATTCATTATTGCACTTTTCTCCCCCACCCCACCCCCAGTGTTAAGCATTTCTTAAGCTGAAGGAGTTGAAGAACAAATTCAAGTCTAGAGTCACAATACTTAAGGATGCATTGGGCAAAATATGAAATTATTCAGGAAGCATTAAAAGAAGATGGAAGGGGTATACACTGTACCAAAAGGCATTAACTGACTCAGAAGAGTTTCATGAAACAACATGTGAGCAAGAGCCTATGATGATGAGGAAGTTCAAGCTGCTCTGAAAGAATTGGCAAAAAAAACAAGACCCCAAGAATTGATAGTGTATCAACTGACATTTTCAACAAACAGATGCTGCCCTGGATGTACTCCCCAAGAAATCTGGAGGACAACCACCTGGACAACTGACTGAAAGAGAGATCTATATTTGATCCCATTCCAAAGAAACGTGACCCAACAGAATGTGGAAATTATATTTGATCCCATTCCAAAGAAACGTGACCCAACAGAATGTGGAAATTATCAAATAACATCATTAATATCACATGCACACAAGGTTTTGCTAAAAATTATCCAAAAATGACTGGAACAGCACATCAGAAAACTTCTAGGTATGCAGCCTGGGTTTAGAAGAGGCTGTGGTACTAGAGATACAGCTAATGCTAGATGGATATTGGCTGAAAGCAGAGAGTACTAGAAGAATGTCAGTGTTTCATTGACTGTGCAAAGGCTTTTGACTGTGTGGCTCACAAGAAACTCTGAGAAGAATGGGAGTCCCAGAACACTTGATTGTGCTTAGGTGAAACCTATACTTGGACCAGGAGGCAGTTGTCAGAACAGAGGAGGGAAACACTGTATTGTTGAAGGGTGTATGCCAGGGATGTATCCTATCACCATACCCTTTTAATCTATATGCAGAACAGATCATCAGAGAGGCTGGATTCTGTGAGGAGGAATGTGGCATCAGGATTGGAAGAAGACTTCAACAACCTACATTATGCAGATGACACAACCCTGCTTGCCGAAACTGAGGAGGACCTGAAGGAAGTACTTGCTGCAGAAGGTCAAGGACTATAGCCTTCAATATGGATTGAAGCTCAATATCAAGAAAATGAAGATTCTCACCACTGGGCCAATTGGCAGCATCAGAATGGATGGTGAAGAGATTTGAGATTTTTCACAGCTTTCGTTTGCTTGGCTCCACAATCAACACTCTTGGTACCAGCAGCCTGGAAATCAAAAGATGAATTGCATTGGGAAAGTCAGATGTCAGGGACATCTTCAGAGACATTGTAGTGAGGTAATTTGAGCCAAGTTGTGTAGGATCTTGTAGGTTCTAGCAAAATGTGGCCTTGACCCAAAACTACCAGCAGCTGTTGAAGGATTTTTTTTTAATTTTTTGTGTTTGTGTGTGTACCATCAAATCGGATCTGACTAGTACAGGAGGAGATTGTCCTTCCTTTTACAGCAAAGCATCTGGTGGATTCGAACTGCTCACCTCTGGAATTGCAGTGCAGCTTCTTGCCACTAGGCCACCAGAGCTTGCCTGAAAGATTTATTTATTTTTTTAGCACAAACATGATCAGATTTTAATTTTTGTAAAGATCTCTGTCAAGGCAATGTGGGGAACAGATAAACTGAAATGGGAAAAGTCAATTGTGGAAATAATTACCTGAATTAAGGTTCTGGTAGGAGACGTGAAGGAAGGAGCCCTGCTGGCACAGTGGTTAAGTGCTGTCAGTGACCAAAAATTGGATGTTCGAACCCTCTAAGGTGTTCTATAAGGAGCTCTGGTGACCTAGTGGCAAGAAGCTGAGCTACAGTCCCAAA